GACTGACCGGTTGGATCACCTTGCAGTCCGAGGGACTCGCAGGAGTCTTCTCCAGCACCAGAATTCAAAGGCCTCCATTCTTTGGCGCTCAGCTTTTCTTATGGTCCAACTTTCACAGCCATACATTGAACTTGGAAAACTAGACTACACATATGCAATTCCTGCAACCATTCTTCCTTTTTTTTTAGTCTTCAGGCCCTTAATCATTGTTGCTCTTCTCTACACTCTAGGATCTCAACAAGTTCTTTATATTGTGGTGACCAAAACAGTATTCCAAGGGTAGTCTTACCAAGGCATTATAAAGTGGTACTAACACTTCACATGATACTTCTTTAAGTTCTGGGAAGAAGATAATATTTGGAAGTGTCTCAGGCAAATACATCCACGAGGATAGAAGGAGAAAAAATAAAGCCCATCAAAGCTTACAAGACACTGTTAATATACAGTAGTCCATCTTAATAAAGGAGAGTTCTAGTTTTTCTATCTTAATTATTCTGGTCTATCTGGGGGTGGGGTAGGGGGAGGCTGAGAGATGCCTAAACATTTGCATACATTCGCAAATAGCTGTGACATGTGCAATTCATATTTGGTAAAACACAGGCTTATAGGTTTACATGTTTGAAGGCAATGAATTATTTTCCTTCAGTTTCCCAGCAAATTTGCTGCTTTTGCTAAAATGCTTTGAGAATGAATGTAGATGGCTATTTTGCCCAATCAGATTTTTTATTCATCAATGGTATTAAAATAGAACAGAGAGATAAACCTTTTTATATTTTCATTTTAGCAACCACAGTTTCCCTCTTGTATCAAGTAACATAAGGATTTTAAGGGTATATTGTCAGGTTAATATTCCCTCACATATGTGGCATTTGGCTCAGGGATCAGCTAGGTAACAGAAATAGTTCTTTTAACAGATCATGTTTCTCCTGAGTTACAACAGGCTGACAGCAGAAATAAATCTGGCATTTGACAAGTAGGCAATTTGAACTTAAAGCTGAAGAAAGTCCCTTCCAATTTGTGACTTTATAAAGGGTTAAAAATGAGATTTAGGAGTGGTGTAACAGTTTCTGGAAAGCCAAGTAAAATAGCTGATAGAGGAAAAAGTGAGTACAATTGATCTGGAAATAACCCCTCTTGGAAAATATATAAGAGCAAATCAATGGATCTTGCTGTGGATTTGCTCCCCTTAAAAATCACTTGATTTCCCCCCAGATCTCTCTGCATTTCTGCCTTAACCTCAATCCCTGCCTCTTGATTCTTGAATTTACAATTCTGATCCTAGTTATTTTTTTTTCTCCCTTATTTTTTTGTCCATTCCTTATGAGATTAAATTTATTAGCTACATAATATTTTAACCTTTTCCCACCAAGGAGTACATCCAGTGGTGGGATTCAGCCGGTTCGGGAAAACTGGTTGTTAAATTGTTGGCTGGCCCCTCTCCTCCCCACCCCTTCCAGGAGTTCCCACATGCCCCGTTTTTGCTCCCAGGAGGCTTCAGGGAGGCCTACTAGACCCAAAACAGGGCACGGGGAGCTGCCCCCCCCCGGTATGTTTTTGCTCCCAGGGGGATGCAGGAGGCCGAGTGCTGCCTATCACACACCATGGCCACGCCCACCATGGCCACACCCACTCAGCTGGTCATTAGGGCAGAGAACCGGTTGTTAAATTATTTTAATCATGTTGTAGACTCGAGGTATCTTCTTGGGATGAAACGGAGAACATCTCTCTATATGTATTTTTAAAAATCCAGTAAATTTAAATAATGTAGTTGATGAAGATATGAAAAGGGCTTTTTTTAAAAATTTTGATTTATATGCCGCCCTTCTCCGGAGACTCAGGGCGGCTTACAATGCATTAAGCAATAGCCTTCATACTTTTGTATATTTTATACAAAGTCAGCTTATTGCCCCCACAAACCGGCTCCTCATTTTACCTACCTTAGAAAGGATGGAAGGCTGAGTCAACCTTGAGCCTGGTGACATTTGAACTCGCAGTAATTGCAGGCAGCTGGATGTTAAATGCTGCCTTTAACAGTAGCATTAGTCTGCTGCGCCACTCAGGCTCCTGTTTTTCAAGGGCTTTTCTTCCTTCCTTGCACAAATGTACTAAATAAAAGAAAAATCATGTCTTTGGTTTCTGCTTCTGGGTGGACCCAATTTTTTTCTGAGCATTTTTTATACTTCAAACATCGATATAGTGTTATTTAGCTTGGTTAAATATAAATTTGACTAAAATCATTCTCCGGGTCTCTGATTATCTCTGGTTAGGCTTCAATGAGATGCAGTGAAAAACTTTTGCTAACTTTATATATTTATGCTATCTAATTTATATAACGCCCCCCACCCCCAATCTCACAAGTTAGTGATTCTGGGAGGCATACAACAAACTAAATCTAAAATGTGAAGAGATTAATGTTTATGTTCCCTCCAGCTGCTGAAAGACAACACAATGTCTTTAAATATCCTGAACTGCATTATTAATTGGCCTCCAAATATTTTATTCACTAACATCTTAAAACATTAATGATTCATTAACAATAACAAATAATACTTCACAAAGTCTTGTGATGTTAATTTATAATGTCAGGTTTCCTAGAAGTCCTTTCAATGTACATTCTCTAAGAATTATTCTTCCATGCCACCCAGTATTAAATATAGTAACTGCTTTGATATTTTAGAGAAGGAATAGCTCCCTTTACTTTTTTTGAAAGTGGTCTATGAGGCTGGAAAAAGCTTTTTTTTTTGGCTGCACAATCTAACCCCCTCTGAAGAAAAATGGGGAAAATGTATGAATTTGAAAACTTTGGTTGGAATTGTAATATTTTTTGTAGAATTATTCTTCTGAACAAAGGGAAAAATCAAAGGGTTGGTCATAATCTTGGTTGGCATTTAGCAGCTCCAGAAAATTTTGGATTCTAACTCTCCATGCTTCAGATATCTTCCAGCTCAATATTGCTTCTGACAAAGTAAGAATCTAGCTGTTTTATGAGATAAAACCAGGGGTGAAATCCAGCAGGTTTTGACGGGTTCTGGAGAACTGGTAGCAGAAATTTTGAGCAGTTCAGAGAACCGGTAGCGGAAATTTTGAGTAGTTTGGAGAACTGGCATATACCACCTTTGGCTGGCCCCAGAGTGGGGTGGGAATGGAGATTTTGCATTTTCCTTCCCCTGGAGTGGGGTGGGAATGGGGATTTTGCAGTATCCTTCCCCTGGAGTGGGGTGGGAATGGAGATTTTGCAGAATCCTTCCCCTGGAGTGAGGAGGGAATGGGTATTTTGCAGTATTCTTCCCCAGGAGTGGGGTGGGAATGGAGATTTTGCAGTATCCTTCCCCTGGAGTGGGGAGGGAATGGGGAAACCAAGAGCCTTGGTGCCACAGCAGACTAAAGTGCTGTTAAGTAACAACAGCTGCCTGCAATTACTGCAAGTTCTAATCTCACCAGGCTCAAGGTTGACTCAGCCTTCCATCCTTTCGAGGTAGGTAAAATGAGGACCCGGATTGTGGGGGCAATAAGATGACTTTGTATAAAAAAGAACACTGCTTTGGCGGGGGGGGGGCGAAAGCCCTACTAAGCAGGTATATACAAAAGAATGAAGGCTATTGCTTAACACATTGTAAGCCGCCCTGAGTCTCCGGAGAAGGGCGACATATAAATCGAACCAATAAATAAATAAATAAATAAATTTTGCAGTATCCTTCCCCTGCCACGCTCACCAAGCCATGCCCACTAAGACACACCATGCCCACCAAGCCACGCCCACAGAACCGGTAGTAAAAAAAAATTGGATTTCACCACTGGATAAAACATATTTGCCCCAAAATATATTTAAGACCAGTAAATACCAGCTAGCACGATTAATTGCTTTCAATCTTTCTGGCTTTAAATGATGGTTTATTCATATCCTGTGGGGGTTTGTCAAGCTGTTCACAACTCTAAGCTGATGGACTTCATGGTAGACTTTATAACATTTTAGGCTTAAATGTGATGAGATGCATCATGGCCTCAAATTATTAAAACTTTGTCCTTTTAGTATTATTTAATAGTAAGTTGTAAGTTTAATTCAATTTGGACACTGCTAGACTCCAACTGGCACTGGATAGTTTACCAATAGTAAAATAGGATTAATGGTTAAGGCACCAGGCTAGAAACTAGGAGTTAAGTAATTTAAAACTCTCATTACTCAATATGAAACACCATAGATTGCATTTTTGAACAAGAGGCTACATCAGGGGTGGGCTTCAAAAATTTTAGCAAGGGGTTTTCTGCCCGGTTGCTGGGCAGGTGTGGCCACGGTAGGCATGTTTTTGCTCTCCCCAGGTTCCGGAAGCTTTCCTTGAGCTTCTGGAAAGGCGAAAATGGCCTCCCCAGGCTCTGGAGGTCCCTTGGAGGCCAGAAATGGGCTCATTTCCAACCTTCCCGAACTTCTGGTAGGCCCATTTTTCGTCCTCCCCAAGGTTCCCTGCATGTCCTGCACTTACCTGCATCCAAAATGGGCCACGTGGGGACTCTTGGTAGGGGCTGTGTGGGTGGGGCCAGCCAGGAGTGGGGTTTAGGGGGTTCTCTGAACTGCACAGAATCTTAGCTAGAGGTTCTCCTCTATATGCATAACTTGTTTCAGCTCTAAGCATCACCACATACCCTTTTTAGATGTCAAACTCCAAAGTCCAAGAAAGACTCACAGAGTAACTTCTAAGTAGTTTCCTTTATAGTTCCTCACTTACAGACATAAATCTTGCCAAATTAAGTAACTACTTGCATCTTTAAAGATACACTCTGAGAACTTCTAGGGAGGAGCCATCTTACCTCTCTTCCTCCCAACCAAACTATCTAAACTTTGCTGTCTCTTGGTCATTGGGAATGCAGTCCCTTCCTTTGGGAATCCAGACCACATTCTACCACACTAAACCTTTTTCACCTCATCACTTGATGTGATTTGACTTCCCAATTTCTACATTTTTCACCTCACTGACGATCTGCTTCCTTTCCTTCTTCTCTTCCAGCCTGTGACCTGATGACCCTGGGGATTTTAGCCTTAGTGACTTCTACTGGTTGTGCCTCCGCCAATGCCTTGCAGTCTTTGACAGATGCCATGCACATCCCTCACCTCTTTGTCCAACGCAACACAGGAGGTTCTCCACGGACAGCATGCCACCTAAATCCTAGCCCAGAGGAAGAGGAATACACCTTAGCAGCCCGGCCACCTGTTCGGCTCAACGACGTGATGCTGAAGCTCGTCACCGAACTGAGATGGCAAAAATTTATAGTCTTCTATGACAGTGATTATGGTAAGTGCCTTGTTTCATTTTTTCTTTTCTCTGCCTCTCCTTTTTTTCTGAGTATCTTTTGCTTTTATTTGAAGAAGGTAGACCAAAGACGCATTTTGGAACGGTGGTTTTTTGTGTGTAAGTGTTGGGTAGAAAAATATCTTTTGAATTGACAAACTTTTCTGATTTCCCTTGACTGAAAGGTTGCTTGGCAACATCTTATCAAGATAGCCAAAGTTTGATTTATCAGAGCATTTTTTCAGTAAAATATTAATAAACTCTTTGCACTGATTGGCAGGATTCATATATTGCATGCAATGCAGGATTAAGGAAGAAAACCTCAATCTGCCTTTACTTATGTGCTTCTCTTTCATTATCTCTTTGATGATTGCTTCAAAAGTTTAATTTTCTATGAGCTACAATTGCAAGATTCTTGTTATACACAACTTTTTTTTTCCTGTTCCTGTTTCTTGGAGGACCCTCAAGGCCTGATACAGTAGGGGCATCATTTCTCTGCACCTCTTGCTAATTCTTCCTCAGTTTTGGTTCCTGGGCTGAGAACTTGTGAATTGTTACCTCAGTGTGTCTACAGGGTTCGGTTAGAGAAAGCTGGACCATCTGAAAGATCTCAATTAAATTGAGATCTGTCTCATTGAAATGAGCAATGAGACAGAATATTGTTTATTCAATAATCTGTTGCAATTTAGTTTTGAAAAACTAATGCCTGGTAAGAGATGTAACTGCTGGTTTTTCAAGTACCAGTGGTGTACTAACAGATGTTTAAGCTCTATCTCTGCAGGCTCCATTGCTGTTGTCCCACTATGCTGCTAGCCATGGAAGAGCTGATCAATGCACTGGGCATTGGCTTCTGCTCTGCTCTGCTCTGCGCTCAATCGGCTTGCAAAATTCCAGAAAATTTAACAATCAGATCTTGTGAGCCAGTGCAAGCTTGTTCCAGCTCACTACTACCTGGTTTATGGACTCATGATCCATCCTCAAAGTTATGACCATTGCTCCACCACCCAAGTTCATGTAATCACATTTCTTGCTTTTATGATGGTTGCAACGTCCTACAGTCAGATGATCACGATTTGCAACCTTCCCGTTCAATTGAGGAAAACATCCTGATTTGGACTACTCAAATGCAACTGGCTCCGAAATAGCAGCAAGAGCAAGAGAGGGTTTTGCTGCTGTTTAGACCATGAAAACTTGTGGTGCACACACATATCTGGCAGACTTGATGATGTAGGAATTCAAATTGGGTTCCCACAGTCCTAAGCCATAAGCTTTTTTAAAAAAAATTTTTTTGAAAACATGTCTGATCTACCCTGTAAAACACAGATTTATGTAGAGTTGCAGTTTTTGGACAGTTGATGCATAATTAAAATATGGAATGTGTTGACTTAATTTAAGATGTGTGTCAGGGAATGTAGATTTAATAGCTGTAAGCTGATGGAAAGTTGTAAGTGGAGGTAACTGTAAGCTGATGCAATGGGAATGATTCAGCATTTGGAAACGCCTGTTTAATAAGACTCTGGTGGGGTCCACAAAAGACTGCTACCGTTTTAAGATGTGTCTATATATAGGTGACCATTAGAGAGCATATCCCTCTCTCTTGTCATGAATCTCATTGCTCTCCTTGTGTCCGTAGCTGTATGATAAGGTATCTACCATATATATGTATTTATATATTTAGTTGTATATAAACCACTGTTAATTATCTAGAGGCTCTGTGTGCTGTGTGCTGTGTTTTGCTCCTGGGTTTATCTCATACTAGTCATGCTGCAAACACTCTGACAGATTATGGGCCTAGTCCAGAGAGGAGGCCAGAATAACTGGAGAGCCTAGAGAGAAGTGTAAGTGTAAACCGTTGGTGTAAGATATGAGTGTGAAAGAGCCCTTTCCATTTTTGTTATGTCTTGGATGGCATATTTGGCTCAGTTTTAGCTCCTGGACAGCTAATATATATGAAACTTCATTAGAAAAAGGGTTCTTATTTAAATACACCGATGTACAAAGCTGATAGCTGTTCTGCAATGGTCTTCGCAAATAACTTCACCATGCTGTATGGTAGTTTATGGGAGTTGCAGGAAAGAAGATTGATGGAACTTGTCCTGGTTTGTTGACTTTGATTATGATGAAGAGGGTGTTGTATATTCTTTTCAGACTTTCAGAATAACAGTGTTGGAAGGAGCCTTGGAGGTCTTCTAGTCCAACCCTTGCTCAAGTAGGAGACCCTATACCATTTCAGACAAACTGTTGTCCAGTCTCTTCTTAAACACTTCCAGTGTTGGAGCACTCATAATTTCTGGAGGCAAACCATTCCACCGATTAATTGTTCTCACTGTCAGAAAATTTCACCTTATTTCTAAGTTGGTCCTCTCCTTCATTCGTTTTTTAGAAACCTACACACTTTCAACTGGGTGTAAGGCAGGGGTCTGCAACCTTAAACACTCAAAGAGCCATTTGGACCCGTTTCCCACAGAAAAGAAAACACCGGGAGCCACAAAACCCTTCCCGTGCCTGACTATTTCTTGAGCGGCCACAAAACTAGCATATATAGTTGAATTAAACATTCTGTTTTCTTCTGAAACTTTTCTTTTCTTGGATTTATCCATAGTTGGCCTACCGAGGGTTGAAAAGATCAATGAATCACGTGCCAGTGGGTGTCACACATTGCCAGTTGTGACACCTATTTTGAGTGACAGGGAGCCACAGCAGAGGGGTGAAAGAGCCACATGCGGCTCCAGAGCTGCAGGTTGCTGACCCCTGGTGTAAGGAAATCAGTTTGTTCTAGCAGTAGTAGGACTTTACTATTGCTTAAAGAGCTTATTTCATTGACTCCAGCTAATGACGATTCAATTCTGTCTTGCAATAATGGACACATTGGCTTTGTCTTGTCTTTGCAATTTAGAGTTTTTGATAACAATAGTGAAATGATGCTGCTTGATTTGGTACACAGACAAAAAGATGTCTCTCTCTCTGTGTGTATGTGTGTGTGAATAGAATATTTTTGTTCCCTTCTGGGGATATAAAGAGATAATTTAGAGTACAGAAGTATGTGTTTGCACGAGGACAGGTTGGAAACTGCCTTGTTTGACAATATTGCTCATTTGTTTTATTGTGCAACAATGATTCAGTATAATTAGGAAGGAAAGAAAGAAAGGACTTTTTGAGCTTAAAATGGAACTATTCTTAGTAATGTAAAAATAAGCTTAAATTTCAGATTTCTGAATAATAACAAAAAAAAAATCAACTAGTTTTATAAACAGTCTGGTTCTATGCTAGCTTAAAAGAAAAGGGAATACAAAGCTCATTATGTCAAACAGGCCATAAAAACAGAACTAATTCTCTGCAAAATAACAGAATGATTAGGCTCAATTAAAATACATTCCTTGTGTTCTAAAGTCCAATTCTATGCATATTTACTCAGAAGATTTCTTTTAGTTGTAACTTTGTTCAAGAGAACCACAACATGTTTTTTTTTTATTTGCTGCAACCTCCAGATTTCCTAAAATGTTTAGTTCAGAGGGTTAAAGGCAGGGGTGAAATCCAGCAGGTTCTGACAGGTTCTGGAGAACCAGTAGCGGAAATTTTAAATAGTTTGGAGAATAAGCAAATTCCACCTCTGGCTGGCACCAGAGTGGGGTGGGAATGGAGATTTTCCAGGAGTTGGGAGGGAATGGGGATTTTGGAGTATCCTTCCCCTGGAGTGGGGTGGGAATGGAGATTTTTACAATATCCTTTCCCTGCCATGGCCACCAAGCCACACCATGCCTACTAAGCGATGCCCACAGAACCAGTAGTAAAAAAATGTGGATTTCACCACTGGTTAAAGGAGCCCCTGAAACACATCTAGAATGAAAGAGTTCACAGAAAAGAAAGAGGTTCAAGTAAAAATGCCTTGGGCATGACTTTCTAGAACTATACTAGGTGCAAGGCTCAAGCAATTCTGCTTCCTTTCCATTTTCTTGCATAGTGAGAGAGAATAAAGAGGTTACAGGTACTCCTTGACTTATGACCATACTTGAGCCTGGAATTACATTTTAGTCATTGTGACTTATCACATGGTCGCATCCAATTTTATGACTTTTATTGTGCTGATTAAATATGACGGTTGCTAAGTGAATCTGTTTTATCTAACGAATGGGTTATTTTTTCTGGAAGCCAGATATAATAAATGTCAGACACAGTAAAAAAAAAAAAAAAACCATCCAAAATTTGTGGTCAGGTGATTGTGGGACACTGCGAACAGCCATAAGTGTGAGCTGGTTGCCAAGTGCCCCAAATGCGATCTCATAATCATGGGGTGTGTTGAATATGCAAGTAGGAATGAGTCTTACATCAGCCTTCACTCATTGGGAGGGATATTGAATATGCAAGTAGGAGTGAGTCTTACATCAGCCTTTACTCATTGGTTCATTTTCCTGCTGGTGGGAAAATGAACAAGTGTCAGTGGCTGACATGCTGGACAGCTCCTGGTAAAAGGAGCTTCAGCCTCGGGCAGTTCTCAGTTTGTAGTTAGTTTGTTATTGTTCCCTGTTGCCTGCAATAAATGGTTGTTTTACTTCACTACAATCGTCCTGCCTCTCTTTTCATGTCCAGATTTAACAATTCCAACAGCAGTTGGAATTTCAAAAGCAAGTTGTAAGTACTTTTGGGGGAGTTTATCGTAACATTAAATAGTCACTAAGCAACTGGTGGTTAAGTGATCTAGCTTTGCAGGTGCAACCTCTGTCAGACGACATAAAACATGATATGTTGTTTAAATGTTTTCCTTTTTCTTCTTTTGTGGCATGGGAGATGGGAGTAACTAAAACTGTTTAGCCCAATATTATTGTAGATCTTACATTTTGATTAAGGATATGTTATCCAGCTTATCGCTGTAACCCCCCTCTAGAAGCTTGAGAACTGTGTATAGAGTATAGAAATAGATGTAATAAAGAGATGAGCACTCCCTCCCTTCCAAACTGTGGATGATGGGCTAAAACTGGGGGCCCTGCCTTTTCTGATGATGTTGT